TTCGTCTGGGAGAGGGCCCTTGGGGAGGAAGAGGAGGAGGAGGAGGAGGAGGAGGAGGAAGAAGAGGAGGAGGAGGAGGAGGAGGAGGAGGGGGAGGGGGAGGAGGAGGAGGAGGAGGAGGAGAGGAGGAGGAGGAGGAGGAGAGGAGGAGGAGGAGGAAGGAGGAGGAAGGAGGAGGAGGGAGGGAGGAGGAGGAGAGGAGGAGGAGGAGGAGGAGGAGGAGGAGGAGGAGGAGGAGGAGAGGAGGAGGAGGAGGAGAGGAGGGAGGAGGGAGGAGGGAGGAGGAGGAGGAGGAGGAGGAGGAGGAGCCCATTTCCCCAGGAACCGCTCGCTTCATGCCAGCCACAATGCTGAGAGAGAGGTTGCCGTGCTCGTCCCCTGCCCCTGGTGCCGGCTCGCCCCGCGTCGTCCCCGCGGTGGCCCGAGGGTCCGCCCAATGAGGCAGCTTCCAGGCTTCCGCTGGCATCTGACGGGGCCACGCGGGGCACGTCCCAGCACCCGGATTCGCCGCAGCTCCTGGGCGGAAGGGGAAGGGAGGAGGAGGAGGAGGAGGAGGAGGAGGGGAGGAGGAGGAGGAGGAGGAGAGGAGGAGGAGATGAGGAGGAGGAGGAGGAGGAGGAGGAGGGAGGGAGGAGGAGGAGGAGGAGAGGAGGAGGCAGGGGGAGGGGAAGTCGGGCTGAGATTGGGCTGTGCCCTTGCCTCCATTGTAGCTCGTGCCGCTTGCTCCCGCACCGTCGAGGGTGACGGCTCCAACCAGCCTCTCCCGTCAAATGGAAGAGACTCTTTGGTCATTCCTGGGCTGGCCCCAGCACCGGTCTGCTACCTCTACCATACGGGCTCAGCAATACAACTCCAACTAGACTATACGTTCGGGAGAGTTTTTGGATAGCGTGTCGTTCCTCCAGTTCTGGCCCACCACGCTTCGGCGAGACACGCTAATTATCGACATGCGAATTATCCATTACCTGGCCCCTAGGCGTCAATGTCCGAGAGTTTCGAGTCCCCCGCCCCGCGGAGCGGAGCGACACGCTATCCGCTTGCGGAGCATGGCATTAGGTTTGGCCGTCGGCCCGGACGACTTCTCTCGCCGCCTGCGCGCTCGCTGGTGGCCGCGACCAAAAAAAGTGTCGCCAGGGCCGCCGGGGCGACATGCTATCTCGAAGTTCTTGACAGCATTCTCGCGGACCACGACTATCGATCGATTGTGTTTGTATGTTGTTGTCTATATGCTTGATGGTGACATCGCTTGCTACCGGCTGCTGCCCATGGCTGACTGCCTGCCTGCGGGCCGCCAAGACATTGGAGGTCCGAGCCCGCCACACGGCCCCGCCAACAGCGCTCCACCCGCAGGTCCCAACAATCGAGTGTGGAACGAGTCACATGGGCGCTAGCCCAAATTTCAGTCGACTGGAATCACGTGGGAGATTCCGTGGTCGGAGAAGGCGTCGATTTCGCCCCAGATCCGCGGCCCCAGAGGAGCCCTGGACCCTGTGTTCCCCGCCCCTCGCCCTTGCAAACATCTAGGCCTCCTAGATGGGGTCGGAGGATCGCGCCGCACCGCCGATGCATCGCCGATGCATCGCCGATGCATCGCCGATGCGGCTCGATGTGCAGCCCGAATTGCTTTCCGTCAACGTCGCCGATGCATCGCCGACGTCGACGATGCATCGCCAGTGCATCGCGGATGCATCGGCGATGCGGCGCGATCCTCCGACCCCATATACTCGGGCCCCATCTAAGAGGCCTCTAAAACAGCGCCGACTCCGCAGGCGTAGGCCCAGGCGCACATGAAGAGATGCGACGATCACCTTCGGCTACACGTAGGAGTGACCTTTCGGCGGAGTGGCCCTGGGCGCGGGCCCATTGGGGTTCCCCGGCCGCCGAGTGCGAGGCGATAGCTGCGCCTGGCGCGCTTGGGTCTGGCCCCCCCGCGGCTCCCCGAGGGCCGCGCACCAGAGGTCACTCCTGCCCAGGGTCACTCTTGCACGCAGCTAGTTGGCCGACCCGGTTCGGGCGGACAATGTGTCAACCTGGGGTCGGTTTTTCGAAGATTGTGAGAGATTTTGAAATTCGTTTCGAGAACGAGTATTTTTCTCACGTGTAGTGGGTTATGACGCGCCCGCCTGTCAAATTCTTAGGTCGGTACCTGCAATATTACTGTCAAAAGACGTGTAGCCGATGTCTGTCCAGCACCCGAGCTTCCGCGGCTCCGGGCCACTCGTCCGCGGCCTGCGAGGGAAAGCAGTTCTGGCAGCACGTTGCATGCTGCTACAGCCGGGGCCCTGGAGAAGGAACCCTTTTCATTGGGGAGGGGTTCGGTGTTCCTTGATTCTTCGACAGCCTGCCTTCTGTTTGCCTGAGGTTCTCCATGGGACATCGAAGTTCAACTTTGGGAGAAAGGGGCCCCGCTCCTTATCTAGGGTTCCTCAGGTCAGCGCCCCGACTCCACCTCCGTGCTGCCGTTCGCGTGCCCGGCTCCCCATCGGCGATCCCCCTCGCACGGCACCCGCTGCAGGGCAGGCTCCCCCCATCGGCAGACCGGCGCCCAGACACCGCCACCGGGCCCGGCCACGGCCGTCCTGAGCTGGCGGCGTGCCCCGGGTAGTCGGCTGACGCCCCCCCTCTTCCCCGTGCTGTCATCAAGATTCCGAGCGCGAAGGCTCTTTTGTCCTTCGGAGGGTCACCGCGGCAAGTACTCCTCGTAGGTAGAAGACTCTTTCCATGGGTAGCAGAATCATCAGCAGCAGCAGCAGCATCGCAATCGTCATCGTCACCATCACCAGCATCATCATCAGGAGAAGCAGCAGCAGCAGCAGCATCACAATCAGCATCATCAGCAGCACCATCTTCATCGTCATCAACATCATCATCAGCATCATCATCAGCTTCATCATCATCAGCATCATCATCATTAGTATCAGTATCATCATCGCCATCCTCATCATAATCAGCATCAGCATCATCATCTTATCACCATCATCAGCAACAGCATCATCATTATCGTCATCATCATCATCATCATCATCATCATCATCATCATCGTCATCATCATCATCATCATTATCAGTATCATCACCATCGTCATCAGCTGCATCAGCAGCGTCGTCATCGTCATCGCCATCGTCGTCATCATCAGCATCATCATCATCGGCATCGCCATCGCCATCGTCGTCGTCATCAGCATCATCATCAGCAACATCAGCACCATAATCAGCATAATCAGCATCAGTGTCATTATCATTATCAGTATCATCATCATGACCATTCTCAGTATCGTCCTCATTCACAGCAGCATCAGCAGCATTATCATCAGCACCACCATCATCGTCATCATCTCATCGTCATCAGCATCGGCATCATCATGATCATCATCAGCAGCATCATCATCAGCATCATCAGTATCGCCATCGTCATCGTCATTAACACCATCATTATTATCATCAGCAGCATCTGTGTCATCATCAGCGTCATCGTCATCATCATCCTTAGCTTCAGCATCATCATCATCACAATCATGATTGTCATCAGCATCGCCATCATCATCATCGTCATCATCATCATCACCATCATCACCATCGTCATCAGCATCATCAGCATTAGCATCAACATCATCATGATAATCATCGTCGTCGACATCATCACCAGCAGCACCATCATCATCATCAGCATCATCATCATCATCAGCATCATCATCGTCATCATCACCATCATCATCAGCAGCATCACCATCATCGTCATCATCATCATCATCATCATCATCATCATCATCATCGTCATCATCATCATCATCATCATCATCATCATCATCATCATCATCATCATCACCATCATCTCTCATAGGCCCCCATTGGGGCAGACCCCTCACACGGTTCGTTGCCCCGTAATGGGGGATCCACGAATGCTTAAGCGATCCTCCCGCCCTCCCAGGGAGGCCTCGGCCCCGCCAGAGCGAGCAGGGCGTCGGTATACCGTACTAGCTGCGATTTGCCAGGAAAATCCGTCGTGCCGCTACCCCCCCTCTGGGGAGGTATCGCCAGAGCGCCAGGCTCGCCCCGCCAGAGCGAGCAGGGCATCGGCACACCATACTAGTTGCGACCTGCCGGGGAAATTTGCTGCCCTCCCCCTAGAGCCCCTCCTTCCTCTTCAAACCGCTCCTCTCGTCCTCTTCGTCGTCCTCCTGGAGACCTCCGTGCTCAGGAAAGGGCTGTTTACTACGTGTGTCCGCAGCGTCTCCGTACTAAAGTCAAATCCCCCCTCCTCTTCTTCCTCCTCCTCCTCCTCCTCCTCCTCCTCCTCCTCCTCCTCCTCCTCCTGCTCCTTGGGGGGGAATGTCCGGGGCATGCCCCTGCAGCCCCTCCTGGCCGAGGCCAGGAGGGCTTGATTCACCATGCCAGGGCCCAGGGTGGCCGTGCTCAGGCGCGGCAGTTCGGCGGCGAGCGAGGGGGGGAAAATGAGAAGGAGAAGGCCTTCTCAGAAGGCGGTCGGACTTCTCAGAAGCCCTCGCGCCTTCTGAGAAGTTTTCCGTGTCTTCGGGGACGGCTCAGAAAATTCATCAGAAGGCCAGGGGACGTCCGAGCTTTCTGAGAAGGCCTTCTTTTTCTCACTTCCCCCCTCGCTCGCCGCCACCTAGTGGTGCCTGTTGCTGTAGTGTGCTGTTCTCTGGGAGGGCCTGGACGCAATCTGCTGCATCCGCCTGCCTGCCTCATGTGTTTACTGCTCTCTTCTTCCCGACCGACGGGTATTCACCATGCCAGGGACCAGGATGGCCTAGTAGTGGCTCACAGGTGAGCGACGGGAGAAAACGGGGTCGTTTTCGCCGACGTTGGCGCGAAGATGCCCGCGCAAGGTCGCGCGTGAGCGCCCGCGCCTTCAATGTGGCGTGCCGCGCTGGCGGCCCGCGGAAGCCGCGGCGCAAGGTCGCTGTGCCATCTCGCGCAAGACCCGCCTCTTTTCGCCGCTCGGGTGCCTCTGCGCCTCCCCTCTGCGATCCTCTCGGCCCGAGCGCCCCAGAGGGGCCCTCCCCTCGGCCGCGCCCGCGCGCGGGCCTGGCCTCCGCCGCGCGCCGAAGCCGGGGGGGCCCGTCGCCCCAGGCCCCGTCGCCGTCCTCGGCATCGCCGCCGCCGCCGCCGCCGCCGCCGTCACCGCCGCCGTCGCCGCCGCCGCCCTCGGCGCCGGGGCAGCGGCGGAGCGGGGCCCCGCAGGCACGGCGCCGTGGGCGGCGTCGCGGCATCGGCGGCCTCGCGAGGGCCCGGACGGGCGACGTCCTCCTGGCATCGCTCGGACGTGTGCATTTTTCCTTCGGCGAGGAGCATCGAGGAGCGTCCTTGATCAGTGGGCGTAAAAAAAAACCACGCGCGAAACCGAAAAAAAAAACAGGGAATGGACGTCCGAGCGACGGCGAGTCCTGCCAAAGGCAGGACGGAAGCTGTTCTAATCTGTTCCGCCTCGGGGGGCTCCTGCCGGGCCCTGGGACGGACGAAAAAGGGCTCGGGATGAGATGCCGGCTTGGAGGAGAAGGGGTCGGGGCTTCAGTGGACCCCGAACGGGAGAAATCAAGACGTTGCGTGTTTGGGGATCGAGGTCCGAGGATCCAGGGCGGAGGCTTTGGCCCCGCTTCGCCCCTTGCAGGGCCTCCAGAGTTATCCAGGAACCTTCAGATCGGACCTTGCCCAAAACCAAAACGCACAAACACAAATTATATATAACAGAAAATCAGAGCCGGAGCCCTAGACCCAATCTTTCTGGGTCAGTTTTCGAGTTGGATCGATTTGTGAGGATCCCAGGGCCCGAAGCAAGGCAACGGGATCTGAGGGGACCTCCTGGAGACCTCCTGGGACTTCCTTCCGATCTCCACCAGAGACCTCCAGCCGGGGCATCGCGGCCCCTCCTCCGTGTGCGGGCTGGCCGCTTGCGATGCGATTCGATGGGGTTCGACTCGCCGGCTGGAGCCGCGATGCCGATTCGACTCGATTCGGCTCAAGTATGCGACGTCCTGAAAAAATCCGGACGGAGGTTCTCTTCACTTTTCGGCTTCCGGGGGCCCTTACCAGGCCCCGGGGCCGTTGGAAGAAAGTTCGGGATGCAATACTGGCCACTTGAAAGGGTCGGGACGTCCAGGGGGGCCCGCATCGAAGAAATCGAGACATCGCATCTCTGGATTCGATTCGGTTCGATTCGCTGGCATCGGCCAGCACCAGCTGGAGCTGGGCGCGGGCGCCCCGACCTCGACCCGCTTCGGGACCGTCCGTTGGCGATCCGGTCCAATGCCATGTCGTTGCCAGGGCCCACAAGGCGTCGGACCTGGTGCACCTGCAGCTCTGGGGCCCCATCGTGGTGCTCAGGGCCGGTGTGCAGCATGATGTCGGATGCGCGCGGGAGGGCCGGTCCTCACGGCCGGGCGGGGCACAGGAAGGGCCCTTGCTCCTCTCCAATTGCTCCTCCCCCCTCCCCCTGCTCAGCCTCCCTGGCCGGCGTGAGCTTTGGCCCAAGGGCTCTCAAGGCGCACTCCCCTTCTGCACCCGAGGCTCCGCTCCTGGGGCGCAGGGGCCGCCGCTTCGCGGCCTGGGCCGCCATGCGCGGGGGCGGGGGCGACGGAGCCCGCGGAGCCGAGGACGGCCCGCGCGGGCCAGGCCGCTCCCCGGACCTCTGCTTGGCCCCGAGCAGGCTCGGCCTCGATGGCTCGAGCTTGCTGCTCCCGAGCGGCGCCCGGGAGCCGCCCGCGCTGGAGACCCCGGTGTCGCGGCACACCTCGAGCAGGGCAGCGCCGATCCGGCCGCCCCCGGGCCTGGCGCGCGCGGAGCCGCCGCGGCCCTCCCCGCCCGCCGAGGCGGCGCTGGGCCCCGTGAAGGTGGCCCTCGTCGCGCCCCGGCTGGCGGAGCAGCCCAAGCGGCAGCAGCCGCTGCTGCTGCAGCTGCACCTGCACCTGCAGCCGCACTCCCCGGCGCCGCTGCCGCGGCCGGCGGCGCCGCCGCCCGCGGTCCCTGCGAGGTACCCAGACGCCTGGGTGGGCGCGCCGGCGCGCGAGGGCGCGGCCAGACGGCGGCAGCGGCAGCCCGAGGGGCAGCCTGGGCAGCAGCCGCTGTCGCCGCGCGCACCCGAGCCGCAGGGCCATGCGCCGGACAAGCGTGCAACTCTGGTGCTGGTCTACTTCCCGCGCGCCGCCACCAAGGAAGAGATCTGCCACGCGCTCGACCGCGCCATCGCGCAGCACGGCGGCGCGCACGCGACCGCGCGGGCCAGCGGCGTGCGCCGGTGCCGCATCGTGCGCGACAAGGGCCTCTACGGGGTCTTTGAATTCCAGAGCGAGGAGTTGGCAAACATAGTATCCGGTTCCGCTGCCGCGCGAGTCCACCACCGCGCTCGGGCGGGGGCGCCTGGGGGAGCGAGGGGAGGCGGGGCTGGGGGGGTGCGGGCGCCCGAGGAGTAGGTGCCATGGAAGTGCCTGCCCGTACTTTTCCGCGGGAGCCAGGTGGCGGTCAGGCGGTCTGGCACCGGTTCCGACCAGCAGGAAGGGGGCGAGGTTGGAGGTTCTGGGTAAAAGTTTTTGCCTTTTTCTGTCTCGGGGGGCCGCTTTCGGGTCCCAGGACCGTCAAAAACGGATTCGGAATGAAAAACTACACCAGATGGAACCCGGGAGGGGTCCAGGGACCGATTTTGAGCGGATATGCCCTTATCCTTCGGTCTTAACCGATCTTCTCGGAGCCCATCCAGCTCAGACCCTTGGGCCGCCTCCAACCTTTTTTATGTTGGCATCGTTCTCTGCGCGGAGGGCACAAAAGGTGGGCCTGGTCCGACAAATGTACGCACGTTGGGCTCGATGCGTCGGGGGGGCTGGGCCACTGCTTCGCAAGAAGCACACCTGACGGAAGAAGACAGGGGCCCGACACACACACACACACACACAAGCACATACACACACACACGCGCACACGCGCACACACACGCGCACACACACACACACACACGCGCGCGCGCACACACGCGCACACAGACACACTTTTTAAGCCGGCGGCGCAGAGGAGCTTCAGGCGCGGTCGGCAGGTGGATGTGCCAATTGCGAACGAATATTCTCGAACGCGCCATGCTGAAAAAATCCAGCCACGGCCATGCAGATTGGTGGTGGAAAGAACGAGGCGCAGCAAAGCCGAAGTGCAGCGGCCAAAGAACCCACGGAACGAAAGCTCGACGCAGGAAGTTTGAAGCGCAACCAGCTGTCTGGTGCGAATTAAAATTTCAAAGAGGCAAACGAAAAAATGCAAGGCTGCCAGACCAGCCAACCTGGTGGCGGTGCATACACGCAGGGAACCGCGACAAAGCAACGCCACTGACCCTGCAGCGGGCAAGAACCGCAAAGCGACCGTGCAACAGAGTGCAAGAGGCCGGCGTGACAAAGACGATCACGCGGCCAATGCTGGCTAAGCCATGGACAACAAATACAGAGCTGAACGCGGGCGACCGCGAGCAGCAAACGCGAAACGCTGCGGGGCACATGGGTGGTGGACAGGCGCGAGAATGGCCATTGGTGGTGGACAGGCGCGAGCATTGCCAACGTGCAGTTCAGACGCCAGCGTTTTCAAACAGCAAATTCAACGCAGCGAAAGCCGCGAAGAGCTACCACGAAAGCTGGTGAAAAGCAAAACAAAGATGAACAACCACCTGCGCTCAAGAGGGAATGCACGCGTCACCTCAAAGGTCGCATCACTCCGACCAACGGCGGCAAAGTGAAAGGAGGACGGCGCACACAAACACCCACACGCACACACACACACACACACACACACGCACACACGCACACACACACACACACACACAGACACACACACACACACACAGACACACACACACACACACACACACACACACACACACTCACACACACACACACGCGCGCACACACACACACACACACACACACACACACACACACACACGCGCACACAGACACACCTTTTAAGCCGGCGGCGCAGAGGAGCTTCAGGCGCGGTCGGCAGGTGGAGGTGCCAATTGCGAACGAATATTCTCGAACGCGCAATGACGGCCATGCAAATTGGTGGTGGAAAGAGAGGCGCAGCAAAGCCGAAGTGCAGCGGCCAAGGAACCCACGGAGCGAAAGCTCGACGCAGGAAGTTTGAAGCGCAACCAGCTGTCTGGTGCGAATCAAAATTTCAAAGAGGCAAACGAAAAAGAAATGCAAGGTTGCCAGACCAGCCAACTTGGTGGCGGTGCATACGAGCAGGGAAAAAGCGGCAAAGCAAAGCCCCCGACACTGCAGCGGGCAAGAACCGCAAAGCGACCGTGCAACAGAGTGCAAGAGGTCGGACAAGAACCGCCATCGACCGCGCACACACACACACACACACACACACACACACACACACACACACACACACACACACACACACACACGCTTCTGGCGGTCGTGGCCTCGTTTGCAGCGACGAGGCGGAGTAAGACACACGCACTCACACACACACACACACACTCACACTGTATTCCGACGCGCAGATGACGGCAGTCAGCGGGCAGAGTCAGCATGGGCGGCATGCGCGCCAAGCTGAATTGACCGCCGTGCGTGGCAGGGCGCGGCAAAGAAACATGCACGCACACACGCGCACGAGCACACGCACAAACACACACACACACACACACACACGCACGCACGCACGCACGCACACACACACACACACACACACACACACACACACACACACACACACGCGCGCGCGCGCGCGCGCGCGCACGCACAAGCCAGACACACGACATTCTGACTTGTCCTAACCATCCTGTGGTGTTGGGTCTTCGTTTTGAAGAGACAGCGCCCCGCGTTCCCCCTACCGCCTCCTCTACTCCTCCTCCCTCCTCCCTAGCGCCCAGTACAGCGCTTCGTGGCCCCATTGGGAGCTCCACCAAAGGTCCCAGTGGCGGAACTCGCATGCGGTTCCTGCGCCCAGTACAGCGCTTCGTGGCCCCACAGGGAGCTCCGCCGAAGGTCCCCGTGGCGGAACTCGCATACGGTTCCGGCGCCCAGTACACCCACAGGGAGCTCCACCGAAAGTCCCAGTGGCGGAACTCGCCTCTGGTTCCTGTGCCC